AATATCGAGAATATATACATAAAAATAAATCTTTAAGTCAACAACAAAAACGAACAACCCATTTTTTAAAATGAGCAAAACACTTGAATAGACATTTCTCCAATAAATATACATGCAAATGACCAATAAGCACACGAAAAGATGCCCAATGCCACTAGTCATTAGAGAAATGCAAATCAATGCTACAGTGTAATACTTCAGGCTCATTAGGATGGCTAATATCTAAAGAATAACTGAGGAGAGCTGGTGGGAATGTGAAATGTGTAGCCATTGTGGAAAGCAGTATGGAGGTTCCTCAAAAGTTAAACATAGAACTAGCATATGATCCAGTAATTTCACTTCTAAGTGTGTATCCCAAAGAATTGAAAGCAGGGACTTAAACAGATCATTGCACAACAGTGTCCATATTAGCATTATTTACAATAGTCAAATGTCCATCAACAGATGAACAGATAAATAAAATGTGGTGTATACATGTAATGGAATATTACTCAAGCTTGAAAAAATTATGCTAAGTGAAATAAGCCAAACACAACAGGATAAATATTGTGCTTTTTACTTATATGAGGTACCTAGAATAGTGAGATTCATACAGACTGTGGACCAAAGGTTACTAGGTGCTGGAGACACAGATAAGGGGAGCTATTGCTTAATGAGTACAGAGTTTTTTCTTGGGATAATGATAAAGTTTAGGAAATAGAGAGGAGTGATAGTTACACATTATGAAGGCACTCAATGCCTTTGAATTGTACACTTAAAATGGTTAAAATGGTAAACTTTATGTTATATATATTTTACTCCAATATAAAAAGATAATAGGATATACTACCAATAGGGAACGAGACATGGATGCCTATCTTCACTACTTCTAATCGACATAGTTTTGTAAATTTTAGCCAGAATAATTTGGCAAGAAAAAGTAACAAAAATTACCCATATTGGAAAGGAATAAATGAAATGATCTATGTTCGCAGTTGACAAAATTTACCAATGGTTGTAAATGCTTAGACAAAATGCAAACATTTCAAGAAAAATATTACTTATAAACATATACTTATAATAAATATAATTACTGACTGAAGAAGTAATTAATAGCTGTAATCATATTATGATTACTAAAGATCAAAACAAACTTTAAACATACTTCACAAGAAAATATCTGAACCAGATAGTTTTATGGGGAAAAGTATCATATTTTCGAGAAATATATCATGTTATTTTGTAAAAATGTTTCCAAACAACTTTAAAGTCAAGTGGGAATATGCCCTAATTCATTGACCCCAAAATTATACAAAGACATTAGAGGAGGGAAAATTGTAGGCTCATTTCACTCATGATTATAAATATTTAGCAAAATACTGTAAGCACTTTGAATTCAAGAGACTATAAATAATATAATTTGCCACCATCAAGTTTGGTTTCCCATATGTGTATTTTATAATTTAAAAGAGAAAAATAATCTATGACCATCTCAATAAATTCAGAAAAAGCATTTGATAAAAGTTAATCCCATTTATTATAAAACTCAGTTTATTAGGAATAGAATTTTGGTAATTTGACAAGTAATATATCTGAAACTTTAAGGCAAACATCATAATTGATAAAATATTATAATTACTCCTTTCAAAATCATTCCTTTTGACAGTTCAACTTTGTTTTTAAAATTCTAGCCAAAGTAACAAGGTAAGAGAAGAAAAGTGATATTTTTACAGTATCAGTCTATCTCTTCATGTAGAATATAGTATTAAAAGAAAACATGTAAGTTACAAAATGTCACACACAGCTTGATATACTTTATATATACAAAGTTAAAAACAAGTAAGATAAAAACAAGTTAATCATGTTTTCTTAGCCCAATGCATGGCAGACCAGCAAAGGAGAAAGAACAGACAAGCTCAGTGCTGTCGAGTGTGGTAACAACTGTAGAAATGACAGTAACAACTTCACAATGCTGCCAGATTTTCTTTTTAAATGCCTAAATTGAGTTTTCTATATAGTTTTAAATTAATTAAGTTTTAATTAATGTTGATATGAAAGTAATTCTACCCATAAGGTATATGTTTCATAAACTTTTTTGGATAGACCAGTAAATAGTCTGATATAATATTTCCTACCTACAAAAACTCTACCACAGTAATAGTGTCCTAAAGAGAAGTTTTCCTACCTCTTCAGGCTTTCATATGCTGACCCTGTTCATCAAATTTGTTACCCTTAATATCCTGATTTGATTACATGTAGAATGATTAGTGTTTACCTATATCTAATTTCAAACAAAATCATGAAATGCTATTTACCATGTATCTCCTTATTGTCTAAATGGAATTCTTAAGGATCAAAGCTTCCACTACACATTTGTTTACTGTTAGGATAAGGAATCATGTACATTTGTCTCATATATTATCAAAATGACATTTTTTTTTTAGTTGAAGTTGCTAATGTCTCCAAATTGCAATTTTAAGTCTGGAAGGAAAGACAGTGAAACTTTTATTCAAATTTAGTGCATTGAGAAAATACATATTTTCACAACCCTAGAAAAATGCAGCTTTGTCTTTGTTTAAAATCAGCACTATCCAATAAGAAAATAAAATCTGGGTCCAAAATTATTGTAGAAACATCTAAATAACCTCTTAAAATGTTTACATATCAATTTATTCTTATTAGGACAAATATAGGACAACATAAATAATCTGACTGAATTCCACATATGCTTTTTCTACTATTTTGGCCTCTTCCCTATCCATATTTTATATCTGATCTATCACTCAGTTATGACTTTTTCCAAAAGCTATTTCTCAGTTTGAATATTCTTCCCTATTCTCATATTTCAAGATCCTCAGAGCTCTAAGCCTAAATTATGTTCCCTGTCACTAGTATTTCTTCATCTCTCTCAATTAACTACCACCACCCCTCCCAAACTAACTCATAGTTTAAAAATACAACTTCCCCTTCTGCTCTCTCCCAGTCAAAAAATCCGAAATCTAAAATATTTCTGCCTTAACTCATGTATTAAGCCCAAATCTTGTGTGTAGTTTTCAAAATTTCACTGTATGGTCCCACTTTCTCTAGTTGACATTATTTCCCACTATTCTCAAGATGAAATATTTCTTATCCCCACATACACACATACAGTGCCCATGGCTCTCAACAATAGACTTCAAACTCTAGTGGGAGGGAGGGTGTGAGAAGGAAGAATGTTACTGCAAGGAAACTGTGAATTTATATATGGGGAATTTTGTTAAAGAAGATAATAAAATACAAGCATGGCCTTAACATATGTACTATGTCATGGACAGTTGAGTATTTATTATGTATTAGGTATTAAACCAAGCAAGTTTCATAATAATAATTTAATCTCAAGTAATCTTTATAACAACTCTAGGAAGTATTATAATTGCCATTTTAAACATAAAATAATTAAAAGTCTAAGAAATGAAATATCTATTTCATGATCATATAACTTTATAAAGAAATAGGGAGCTTGGATTCAAACCCAGGAATCCACTCTATAGGTAGAAGGGCCCTTGCCTTTAAAACTTTTAGTCTTTAATGTAACTCAAAGACGTTACAAGGCATTGGATTTAATTTTTCTCAGTTTTATATTTTTCCACTGCTGTTTTCTGCACTATCACTGTCCCCATTCCTTCAGTAAGCATCCAAATCTAAGGCTCAACTTAGAGTAAGCCCTCTCCAGCACTCTTCCTCAGGCCAGCCTAGTTTATTTTTCATTTCACCCAGATAATATGGGGCTAAGCTTGCAATACATTTTCTAATTGAATTTAAATTAATTGTTTTATCATTCTTCATTTTTATTCACTCAGCAAGAGAAAAGGCATTATAATATATATTTACCATGATCCTAAAAATAGATTATTTATGCAAAGCTAAGAACTTTCTGCATAGATGTGTATATACGTATACATATATATAATATCCTAGATAATTTTATTATAAATACGAAAATGTAAAAAGACTTACATGTAGTTACATATTTCCAGATAATTTCTTAGTAGAGATAACAAAAGGAAAAAAAAACCTTACATGTATATGCATGTGCACTAACATATTTAATGTGAGTGTCAAGGGAAACTGAGGGAATTTTTTCAGTTGTTTGGATCCTATATTGTGTTTCTTGTGAAAACATTCATTGTGACCCTAAAATCGTAAAAGAGTAGATAGGATAACTGCAGACAGGAAAGGAAAACAAACTTCAGGTATAAAGAGAATCACCGTAGGGGAGCATAGAGTGCACAATGCATGCAAAAACTTGGCATTTCAAAGATTATTGTCTTTCTCTTTCGGTGTTCATTCATTTAGATGCAGTAAGCAAAGTCTTTATAGTTTCAGGACACACACCATTAATACTTCTCTAGATTTGTTTTCTTTGCTACCAAAGCAGAAGTATACAGTTTAAATGACATACAATGAATAGAGAAATCCCACTGTGTTATTATTGTTGTTATTTTTGCCGTATTATGACATGAGTAAATATAATGTGTTGAGCTGGAGTAGGAGATCCCTTGTCCTTGATGACCTGGTTTATACATATAGTGGGAGATTATCTGGAAATATAATATGTGACTATATACAATAATAGAAAGATAAAATACAAAACAAAGAATGATAATTTATACTTTTGCCCCATACATATACACATATGATCTATTTACTAATAAATAAATAAAAACAATTATTAATGTTAACAATGCAGCAATTAGTGTGAAACTTTCATCTTTTTGATAAAAAAGTAGTAATAAACATTACTTTAGTTTTAATATTTTTTACTAAATATACTATTATAATTTTTTACTATAGTCCAGAGCACTAAAAGCAATCTTGTAAGTAAACACGCTTGTTGATACAGCAGAATATATTTTATGCATTTCAAAGCTCAATTTTTGCATACCTTTTTTTATTGACTATAAGTTTATAAAGTTTAAATTCAGTATTTAATGTGCTTTCATCTCCAAACCCTGAAAGAATTCCAAAATACACTTGCTCACCAGTTTTAACTTTGAAGTGTCTATAACCTTCACAATAGCAATGGGCTTCTCTTTCTCCTTCATCATTTTCTTTTCCTTAAACTTGCAAACAATAACCAAGAGAACTGTGCAGAAACTTCTACACTCAAGTGAACTTTGGTTCTTCTTTGGACTTTAAGACTAATCTGGTCTACATTGTGATTGACAAAAGCTTGCTCACGGATGTTATGAAGTCCTTTCAAGTTCCAACCAAGCAGAGGGGGTTGTTAATATTTACTCACTCCTCGTCTCTGGAATGATCTTGAACTATAACAGTTTACTGAGATTGCCAAATGCCACCAGCATTTACAGACACTTGATTGAAAAATACCTATATATGTTAAAAGAAATAAGTTACTATGCACAACCACGTCTCTGAAAGAAAGGGGTGAAACTAAGACCAATGGGTGGAAATAATACACACATATAATCTCAGAGGCTAAACAATCATTCAGCTGGAGTGTAGGTGATGATCAGATCTATCTCAGGTCCCTTCAAATCATAGGATTCTATAGTTCTATGAAATGGCTACATTCCTGAAACAGCTGGCACAGCAGAGTGGGTAGGATAGTTACATTGGTTTCATGCAGGGCTGAATTCAAGCCCCTACTTTGGCATTCACTAACTATATGAACTTGGGCAAGCTACTGAACTTCTCTAAGCTTCTTTCCTCATTTATAAAATTTTAATAGGCAATAACAATCTTTATCTCATAGGTTTGTTGTGAAGTTAAATGCAGTTTTCACAAAAAAGTATTTTGCATAATTCTTGTCACCTAGTTAGTAACCCATGCATGGTAGCTATTCTTATTGTTGCCTTTGTCCGTTTGCTTCTGCTTTTAGTCAGTTAACAGTATTCCTGAATACGAATCATAATGAAAACAATTATTTCAATACTATGTGTGAATGTTAGTCATTTATTTAACATGCATTTGCTGAGCAACTATGATGTGTTGGTCACTATGCCGGGTACTGACAACAACAACAAAACAGGCTACTGTTCTAGGCTCCAGAGACATAGCAGTAAATGAGACAGACAAAATCCCTGTCTTCAAGGAGTTTGCATTCTACAGGTGGAAGCACAGATTAAATAGGTAAATGCAATAATAAATAAGATCACTTGTGTTACATTACTCATAAGTCAGAGGGTAAATAAAATAAGACATTGATTTGAGGAGTCATGGGGTAGGGTCTTACAGTTAGGGTGATAGTGGTAGGCCCCTTTGACAAGCTGACATTGACTAACAATCTGAATCATTAAGAGGTAACCATGCAAAGTTTTGAGATGAAAGCATTCCAAACTAAGAAAAGGAAGTGCAATGGTTTTAAGATGATAATATTCCTGTCATGTTTAAGGAGGAGAAAGGGTGCCATTGAATCCAGACCCTGAAGTGAAAGGGAAGTGCTGACTACAATAGTGTCTGGATTATATTCTGAGTGTTTCAGAAAGTTAATAAAATGTTAAGCAAGGAGAAACAGGATCCGATTATTGCTTTAGGAAGATTCTTCTGGCTGCTCTGTGAAGAACAGCTGTAAGGGAACAAAAAGTAGCAGGGAAGATAGGTCAGAGCCTGTGGCAGTAGTGAGAGATGACAGAATGTGTTTTACAAAAGGACATGATAGGAAGCTGTGAGATTCTGGAAATTCTGGATTTTCCGGGAGTAAGAGAGAGAGAAAAGCAAAGAATGGCCATTTGTGTTTGCTTGTTTCACATAAACTAAAAGCAGATTTGGGAGGGAGGACTTCTTTTCAGCTATGTTAAGTTTAAGATGTCTGTTAGAACCACAAAAGATATCAAGTAAGCAGTAGAATATATGAGTCTGGCATATAAGGGAACAATCTAGGCTAGAGATGTGTTGATGTTACCTATAGGATGTGTACTGATATATGAGAAAAGAGGACTGAAGACTGAGCCTTGGGACACTCTAGAACTTAGGCATCTCTTAAAGGAAAAAGAACCAGTAGAATGAGTGAAAAATCAGAGAATCCACAGAATCCCAGATAGCTCTTCAAGAAGAAGGAAGTGGTCAACCATGTCAAACCCCACTGAGACGTGAAGTCAAGTGAGAATGGAGAATTTGCTATTGGATTTTGCACTGATTGGTTTCCAGAGCCCTGTAGTGGACAAAATCTCTACTGGAGATGAGAGAATGAGAGGGAAGGAAGTGGAGGCAGGGAGAAAATGTGGGCAGTGAGGCTTGTGTGTGTGTGTGAAGGAGTCATGAAATAGCCTGGTAGCCAGAGAGGAAATGTGTTTAAAGGAAGCTGTTTGGTTTGGTTTGCTTTTAGTGCGTGTTATTAAAGGCTGATAAATGCTGATATTTATAATCCAGTAGATGAGCATATACTGATGATCTAGGAGGAGGAAAGATTTAGAAAAAAATCAAGTCCTTTGGAAGGAATTCCAGATACAAGTGGTAGGACTGGCTTTAGATAATGAGCTAGGACGATCATTCACATGCGAGCTGATTATTTAAAAGAACGTGGCAACTTCTCCCCTCTCTCTTGCTCCCTCTCTCACCACGTGATAATCTGGCTCCTCTTCCTTTATACCACAACCGAAGCTTCCTGAGGCCCTCGCCAGAAGCAGATGCTGGGGTAAGGCTTCCTGTATACAGTCTGCAGAGTCATGAGCCACATAATCCCCTTTTCTTTATAAAGCACCCAGCCTCAGGTATTCCTTTATAGAAATGCAAAATGGACTAACACAGGCAACCCTTGTCATATAGTAGGCAAACATAATAATACTTATTGATAAATATTCTCAGTTTTGAAGCCTACTGTAATAAACAACTGTTGATTTTGCCTGACTAGAATCCATTCACATTTGCTTGGGTAACAGCTACTGCTTTCTTGGTTCTCACTCTTAGTCTGGACAATGTGTTGTGGAGGGCTGCTCAAGCCGCAGTGCTAGCATAGGCCAAGACCCAGAGACATTGGCTTAGAAATAGATATGTGACAGGAGTTGCTGTTTTATCCTAGAGCGTTAACTGGAACTAAGAAGAAAAAGATTTGCTCTTAGGTATTCCATCCTAACTGAATGTTTCCATTAGGATGCATTTGTTTATGAGAACCAGAAACTCCTGGCATAATTAGCTTATAAAATAAAGAAAAATAAAACCCTTACATAATGTAAAATCCACAGGCAAAATAATTCTCCAGGGGCATATAAGCAACATTTCTTTGAGTATCTGTTGATTTTCTCTTTCCCTTTGTTTCTTCTGTTTTTCCTCACTTTATCTACCTTTTGGTTAGAAAGAAAAAAAAAAAGGCTACAGCAGCCCCAGAAATCACATTGTCCTATAACATCATAGAGAAGCAAAAACCCTTCTCTCTTGAAAGTATAGACTGAAGAAAACTTCCAAGCAGTTCTCAGTATCCTGCTCAACTTGCCAAAATTGCAGCACAAGCCCATTCTTAAAACAATCTCTGGCAAGGGAAATGGGGCCACCAGAATTGGTTTAAATTAATCAGAAACTTCCTTTTTCTTGTGAAGGAATGGATGTCTGAAAAAAACTAGGTTAGTAAGAAAAAACTGTATGCATGGCTGGGAATAGGCTATGACAGTGTCTGTTCAATGGCTGAGAATAAAGCCAGCACAGAAGAAAACAGAGACAAATTTACAAAGGGATGCCCACATACAATATTACTTAGGGATTTTTAGATGGCATGAACCAATAAATTCCTTTCATGCTTAAGCCCCTTATGAGTCAGGTTAACCACCTGCAACCAAAAGTTCACTGGCTAATATACTTACTCAAAGCTTTTTTCTGAATCTAACAAGTCTTTGCTTTTATCTACATAAACTATAAAAATCCTTCAGAATTTCCTACCCCTATTCTACCAGCTATTCTTGTACATTCTCTTTTTTCTCACTTCTTGCCTTATGTTGTTCTCTTAACTTGCTACTTTTCTGCCTTCATGTCTATCTCTTAAAATCTTAACTATACAGTACTTCATAACTATATTTCAAACATCACCTCTTTCTAAAGGACTTCCAAAAATTCTCACTTTCGCATGGTTTCTCCTTCATTTGAGCTTCAGAGCAAATCTCTGACTAGCATTTAAAATGCACACATGTAGTCTATATCAATTTTAAAAAGTCTTCAGAGACCAATATTTTTAATTATTCTCATAATACAGAAACAGATGCCAAAGAAAAGGCAGGTTAAGCGATTTGCTTAATTTCTAGATTAGAACCAGGTTTGACACAAGTTCCATATTCTTTCCCTCCCTGACTCTCAGGCGCAACTCACTGTGCTAACCCATTATATTGTCATCTCTTGACATGTGAATTATGCCTCACTCAACTTGCAGTATCATACTGTGTGAATATTATGTTTTACATAGAATAAGTATTCAATAAATATTTGGTTAATTGAACTGCTTGGTTTTATGTGTGGATCTAGAATTATCAATAATCTTTGGTTGGTCAACAGCAGATATTTCTTTATGTGAATACACTTAGGCCAGTAGTATCCATCTATTTAAAAGTACATTCTGTATATCAAAAGCATATTCTCAACAGAATTCATCACCAATTTTTTTACTAAGCCATTCTACACAGATTCTACAAAACAAGTAAATAATTTGACAGAATGTATCAGTGTACAATTTCAATGAAGTAAGTACCATGTACAAAGAAGAGAAGCTTGCAGGAAATTAATGTCATTTCCTTAAACTCAGAAATTGAATACTAGTTAAGAAAATAGTATCCTCATTCTGTGAAATTAGAAAGGGAGATATTAGCCTTAATATCATATGTATCTAGATAATTAGTTTTTATGTCACTATGCTACTTGAAATCTTAAGAGAAAAAAGGTAGAATCATTACTCTATACTTAAAAAAAAAATGAAAACTGAAAAAAAAAATCCTACAACAAAAAACAGATTTTGAACCTCATCTGATACTGAGCAGGTAAAGTTAATATTGGTGACTTGACTTGCACTCTGTGGAGGTCCTGCATAGTGGAGAAAAGGAGAGACACTTCTCTCATTAGATAGCCTACTCAAGAATTGAAACAGAAAAGAAAAAAGATGCCTCCACCACCAATTTTTCTAGGCCCTAAATTGAAAACATCCATCAAAATGTAGTCTAGCCTATTGACTTATTGATGAATAGTCCACAATATGCAGTACAATCAGAATTCACTTTTTAAAAAAAAAATGTTTAAAGTAACAATTCAGTTGCAATCTTTGAGATTCTTTCTTCTTGTGTTCTCTAAAAGATTGTAACCATAAACAAACCAACACTAATCCTTCAAAATGTGTTGAAAGAGCTTATACAGCCTTTACAGATAACATTTTTATGATTCATAAATGAGCAATCAGAAGGCACACAGCAAGCAAATAGGAGATAAGACACTATCCCTTCATTGAGTAGTATTCCAGGAATTTGTGCTGATTTCAACACAGAAGTCTTTCTACATGCTTTAAAGGGGGGTGAGGCCTGTTCTTTCTTTTTCAATTTGACTTTAACCTCTGGCTATTGGCTTAGAAGTAAATTTACATTTTTCATCTTTGTAATATTTTCTTTCTTATTCAAAAGTATAGAGCCTCTGAATCTGAAAGCTATATTAGTCATGGGAAAATAGTCAAAATTTAGTCATGACCTTCTAAGGGTGTTTGATTATATGCTGTGCTTAAAATAAAAAATTTAAAGATTAAATTCCAGCAAATTAGATATATAGTTAGATGCATGTATATAGAATTAGATAGATAGACACACACATGCACACACACACACACACACACACACAGAGAAAGAGAGAGAGGGGGAGAAAGATTAGTACAAGCACTGTATTCTTCCTCAACTATTAGGAAATCTTTTTTTCTGCACCAATAAATATTTTCTAGTATTCATGTTTATCTTGTCTGTTTCAAAGTGCAGAAAAAAAGACCATTTGCTAATCAAATATATATATATATATATATGTTTTTTAATTATCAGAGTGTATTCATTTCAGTTTCAATGACCTTCTTGGGTCTGAAAGCACTTACTGTTCTTTGCATTAGCAGAGGAGAGTCTGTTTCTTCCTCTTTAAAACTTGATTCCATATCGATTATATCCTCAATAACGTCCTCCATCTAGCAAAATATAATACATTTAGAATATTGTACATAATGATAAAAGTTGTGCTTCAGTCTGAAATCAGAGAGAAAAATTCTAGCAATCTTTAAAAGTTTTTTAGACAATTTAAATTGAGTATATATATATATGAAACCTCAATATAATGTATATATATAAACACAGACTACTTTAGAATAGAAAATGCAGGAATCTTGACAATCTTTGGTCTGATTATCTTTGGTTTGTTGCTTTTCCTTGCACTTTTGTCCAAAGGCTGACAGGTGACAACTTGGCAAAGCACCCTGAGCTAGTCTCTTGCAAATCAGTATCTACATAAATAGAGTGGTTATCATAAAATATCTCTAGGCAGACAGAGTCCCTATACTTAATATGTACAGAGAATACCTTCTACAAATTTTATTATTTTTTAATGTTCTGATTGCATGATTGCATCTTACATGTGGATCTCTAAATATTCATCATTAAATATTTGTCAGTACATTCCTGTAGATACAGAATACATGGAAACATTTCATTCTACCTTCTCTAAAGACCAATAATAATAGATAACAGCAATAGCAGCAGCAAAAACAACAATAATCATGGACATTTTAAATAGTAACAATAACAATCACTTTTATAGTGCATTAGAAGTACCATGCACTGTTCTAAGTGCTTTGCATACATCATTCATTTAATATTTATAATAATCCTATGAAACTCTGCTATACAGAAAAGGAAACTGAGAGAAAAAAATTCAATGATTTGTCCCAGATTATACAGTGAGTGAGTGGTGGAAGAAGGACTGACATCCTAGAAATTTGGACCTATAATCCAAACCTCACTGGCTTTCTATTTCCTTTCTCAATTATTTTCTAAAATAGAAAGTTTCCTCCCCTTCTGTACTTTAGCCAAGGGAGATTTTAAAAGCTTATGTGTTTAAAAAATGGTTGTTTATCTCTCTCTTTATCTCTCTCTCTGTTCTAGTCCTTGCTCTCTTCTCTTCCATCATATTCCATTTAGTGTATTTTTTAAATGTGATATAAAATCAAATATATTGTGAATGTTTAATTTAATTAAGTGTAGTACTGTGAATCTCCTATGATATAGGCAGATACAATTGAGGGTATACTCTGATAGATATGGAAAGATATCTTATAATTCTATTGATATTATCTTCAAAGCAAGATATCTAGGAACTTAAGAGAATTAAGTGTTCAGAGAATTCTACTAAGATGCTTCAAAATATATGGAACACTATTCATATCTTAACAAATATTAACTAAGCAATGTTTATTGTGAGATATTGTGGTTAGAACTGGAGCTACCATAGCCAACAGCATGAAATTCTCACTCTTATGCAGCTCTAATTCTTAAGACCCATAAACAACTTAATAACAAACAGACCCATAAACAGCTTAATAACAAACAGTGGGCTGAAGATATTAAAGCAGGTAGAGGGTAGAGTTTGATGAAATGGTTGTTATTTTAGAAGTACATCAGAGAAAGATTTACTGATGTTTGAACAGAGACAAGAATAACATGGGAAAGGGTGGTCCCTGGGAAGGGAATGAGAAAGACCTAATGTAGGAACAAGTTTAACATGTTTGAGAATCAATGAGCACTAATGGGAATAGAGCAAATTGCACAAGGACAAGAGTGGTTACAGATGAAGTGGAAAAGCATGCAAGAAACTGACATTGTAGAATCCTCAAGGCCTGTGGTATCCAATAGAAATTTCTGCAATGATGGGAATGTCCTATATCTGAAATGACCAATATATTAACAATAATAACTAACTACATATGACTACTAAACACACGAAATGTGGCTAGTGTAACTGAGAAACTGAAATTTTAATTGCATTTAATTTTTTAAAACGTTATTGAATTTGGTCAGGCGCAGTGGCTAACACTTGTAATCCCAGCGCTTTGGGAGGCTGAGGCGTGTGGATCACTTGAGGTCAGGAGTTCTAGATTAGCCTAGCCAATATGGTGAAACATTTTCTCTACCAAAATATACAAAAATTAGCCGGGCAAGATGGTGCACACCTGTAGTCCCAGCTACTTCAAAGGCTGAGGTGGGAGAATCACTTGAACCAGGAAGGCAGAATCTATAGTGAGCAGAGATCATGCCACTGCACTCCAGCCTGGGCAACAGAGTGAGACCCCTTCAAAAAATAAAAATAAAAATAAATAAGTTATTGAATTTGAACTAACTTTAAATTAAAATAGCCACATGTGGTTCATGGGTACTACAGTGAAGTGTGTAGCTCCAGCCATGGCCAGATGTTAAATTCCTGTGCATAGAGAGATTTTTAAGAATCTAGGTTAATACATGTGCATACTTTGTTTCTTTTGGTTAGTCCAGTATCTGAAATTCTTTAAGTGAATTCTTGATTGTTATTAAACTTGAATTTTTATTTTGTGATATTTTACTCATATTCTACCACTAAATGGGCAAAAACCTTGTAATGAAAAAATGTGAAGAAGATCTGAGAAGATTGCTAAACAAAGTGCTTTTCCTTTGGATACTTGCAGTGGATTCAGTAAAAATTACACATAAATCATTCATCTATTTTCTCTCTGGAAGCTTAGGTCATAAATGACGTGGTCTCTTTAATTTTTCACTTTGACAATAAAACATGCTTAGGTTCCCTTATTTTAGAAAGAAACTTTTCTTTGTTACATGTGAAAGTTCACCCACCTTTGGAAGCTATGCCTTCGCCTTTAACACCGCTATGCCTCATTTCTATCATCTACCTACATGACTACATTTTCCCCTAATTTCAGTTTTTCCATTATCTGAATGGATGTTAAAATCTAAAATTCAGACTAAAACCTTCACGACTTATAAGTATCTCCATAATTAAAAACCTAAGAATCCATTTGTTATTTTAAAAAGACAACGAACACACCATTTTGTATCAGACGAAACAGAATTAACAAATCAGACAAAATAAGAATTACAAACCAGCAAGTAAGCATCCTCAAAATAATAAGATAATAAAATACAAAGAAAGAGCAAATTTCTTGACAAAAATAAAAATGGAGATAATAGGCATAGAAAGTGTAAGATTCAAGGACAAAGGAAAACATACATTTTCAGATATGTGAAAATAAAGGTTTACAAAAGAACAAGGATGAAACTTTTAAACAATACTGAGTGCAAGAAGAAAATGGGATAATACTTGAAATATTAGAGGTAAAGAACTTTGAACCTACACATTTATAGCCAACAAAGTATCTTTTACATATTCTTTCTGGATATAAAAACACAGAAACTTTGAGGCAAAAAGACCTTTTAAAAACAGATTAAGGAATACTGCAGTCAGAAGATAAATAAAACCATGAAAGTGATACAAAACAAAAAAATGAGTAAAGAATAGTAAACTTTTTGTGATCTAAGTTTAACTCTATGATATACATAGAGAAACATACATGCATAATATTTATATATGTATTTCTGTTGATATGTATATACATGAATTTTATACATACATTAATTCTATAAATATCAATACAGAAAGGTACATGACAACAAGGAGATGGGACCATACTAAAGTAGATGTTTACTTAAGTATATGGCATATATAATGTTAAACAAGGATATAGATGTAGAAAAAAACATAATGATTACTTTTTAAATATTGGGAGAAACAAACAGAAAAAAATGTAAAAAGCTTCACATATTCAACTGACCAATGGAATATAGAAAAAAGAGGGCAAAGAAACAGAAAGTATAGTAACTTAGAACAAAAAAAAAAAAAAAACTGTTAAATCCTAATATTAAATACAGAAATGTAAATGAGTTAAGATACTGATTGAGAAACTCAAATTGGATTTTTAAAAGGTTTTGTAATATTTTGTCTATAAGAGACACATTTAAAATAAAATAACAGAAAAAGCAGAAACAAGGTTAAATAAAGTATCATAAATATAACAAAAAGGAAATCAACAGTAGTGGTATTCATATTAAGCACTATAAATTTCAAGGTTAAAATCTGAAGGAAAAATAATACCAAGTGATCACGAACACATATGCACCTAAAAATATATACAACTGTCAGAATTCTATGGAAAAGTAAATCAACACTTGTAGTTGAATATTTTAACTCTCTCTAAATCTGATAGTTCAGCGCACAAACTTAAATTTAGACTTCTCTTTACCTATATCAAAGCCATGCCTTGGGTCTTGTCATCATCTAAACTGCTTCATTTCTGAAATCTTAAATTCCATGATCTCATTCACCAAATGAAGCCATTGTTTTGGATCCAGACAAAACACTGGCAGGTCACCTGGACAATTTTTATTTTATGACCTTTTAAGCCTTTGTCCTGTTACCTTTCTGTCCAAACATCCCAGGTGGTCTATCTCTGCACCTTCTATTAACTCTGAATTCAAGATAGAATGGCTTGTGCTCACCTTCCTACTTGACATTCCTTTTGTTGTCATTTTTATTGACTCTGCTAAGTTCAACAGATATTGATCAGTTCTTATTTTACCAGACTCATCTGCTACATTTGGGTGTGGGAATCATTCCTTCCTTCTTTAAACTATTTCTTTATTTGGCATCAATGACATCACACTCTCCCAGTTATCTTTTTAGTTAACTTTTATGGGCCTTCTCTTCTGACCACCCCTTAAATGTTGGTTATCTTCAAAATAGCATCTTTAGCTATCACTTTCCTCATGGTATTCAGGTTCTCAAGGGGATTTATTTCTCATTCAAGATTTCAAGGACCATCCACATGCTAAAAATCTCAAATGTCTTCCTCCAGTCCAGCAAATTTGGATATCTAGCTGTCACCAACATTTCCATGTGATGATCTCACTGATAGCACAGTTCAACATATTTTAAGGGAGAGCCTCATTTTCTTGCACCACACAATAGAAATAGACT